CTTTAGAAATGAGTTGCACAATTGAGAAGACACCTCCTGATGCTGATGCTTTTATTGAAAGACTGAGAGATCATGATGACGCAGCAGAATCTCTGACTGAACAAACCACTGCTCTCAACAAGTGAGGAGAAGCGATGAGCAGTATCAGGAAGAAATTCAAGAACTTAATAAAGTTGCAAGATATCGGCCACAGCCCACGTAAGTTGTGGGGATCCAGCAAGAAAACAGACACATCAGAGAAGTACAACAAGAGAGCAAAGAACTGCATACATCCCTGGAAGAACCTCAGTCTGCCTTGGAACTTCTAATGAGCAAGTATCAACAGCGAATGTTTAGACTGCTGATGGCTAGCAAAGATGACCCAGATGTGAAAGTGAGGTTAAAAGAGCAGCACTCTGAGACCGACATGGGATTGTTGTAACAGCTCTAAAGGAGCCTTCCTTAATGAATCTTGACACATCTTTGAAACATCTCAACATGAACCAGAGAGGAGACCCTTAGAAGCAAATTAGAAATTACAATCACATGTTGATCAGATAACGGAAATGGCAGCAGTAAGGAGGAAGGCCATTGAAATTGATGAGTGACAGGGTTGCAAGGTACTAGAGCAAATAATTCAACTCCCAAGAAAACAAAGGCTTGAGAGAGAGCCATCACTGAACTCAAGAACCTTTTTTTTTTTAAAGTTTATCTATTTTGAGAGAGGGTAAGCACATGAGTGCATGTGTGCACGAGTGGGGAAGGGGCAGAGAGAAAGGGAGAGAGAATCCAGACTCAAGGCTTGAACCCACGAACCGTGAGATCATGACCTGAGCCTAAATCAAGAGTCAGATGCTTAACTGACTGAGCTACCCAGGCATGCCCTCATTTTTGAACCTTAGGAAAGATGTGTCTGAAAGTTCATCTTTGACAGTATTAGCGACCAGTAGCGACCAGAGTCTGAGGAAGAGCTGAAGAGCCTATGTCGGTGAGCTTCATACAAGGCTCCAGAAGGTCACCGGGACTGGCCCACTAAAGTGAATGAGGTAACGGAAAAATCAATCTCGAGCTAAGCTTTTTATTTCCTATAGTATGCGCAGTGCATTGGCAATGACATTTTCTTTTTTACTATTTGAGAGAGAGAGAGAAAATGCGAGCCAGCGGAGAAGAGTGGCAGAGGGAGGGAGAGGGAGAGAGAGGGAAAAAGAGAGAGAGAGGGAAGGAATCTTAAGTAGGCTCCACACTCAGTGTGGAGCCCAATGCTCAATCCCATGACCCCAGGATCATGACCTGAACCAAAATCAAGAGTTGACACTCAACCGAATAAGCAACCCAGGCTCTCCTATAAGTACTCATTTTATTTTTTACAAAATATGTATCTAGTATGTAAATTTTTAAAAGCCACTAGAAATAGAAATGGACTTTAACATCAACTGAAATCTAAATTTTTATTTTGGATTTAAAAAACCCCCCACTATTTCCAGATCTTACCAACTTTCCACTAATGTCCCTTTTCTGTTTCAAATCCAATCCACGATACCATATTACATTGAGTTGCCATGTCTCCTTAGTTCCTCCAGTCTAAGTTTCTCCATATTCTCTTATTTTTCATGACCTTGAACACGGTCTATATAGATGTCCTTTAGTTTGTGTTTGTCTGATGTTTTTTCATGATCCAACTGGGTTAATGGGTATGTGGAAAGAATACCCCTGAAGGGAAGCGTCCCCTTGATTACATCATGCCGGGAGGCATGTGGTACCTACATGCCAGCACTCATGATGTTGACCCTGGTCACTTGGTGAAATCAGTGTTTGCCACGTTTCTCCCCTGTAAGGTTGCTTTGTTTGCCCTTTTCATACTCTATTTGCTGGAGTTGAGACATGAAGTCCAGCCCACGCTCAACCGAGGACTGGCATGTTCCACTTCCTGGAGCACAGAGTCTACATATATTATTTGGAATTCTTCTGTACAAAAGATTTCTCTTTAAAAAAAAAAAAGATTTCTCTTTTCCCGTAACTGTTTTAGAAAATATTTTTTATCTCATATGTAGGCATCCTAGAAAAAGACTTAGTTGTGCCTGTCTTTGAACCTGGTCAATGAACATTTGTTATTTACTATGCACTCTCTTGCACATGTCTCCCGCACTCATGTGCTGGGTCACAGACTGTGTGTCCTATTCCAATGTGCAAGATGATGCCACAGTTTTCCAAAGTGGTTCATATCAGTGTGTGTTCTCACCAGCAAGTGTGTAATAGTTCCTACTGTGCCACGGCCTCATCAACACCTACTATTGAGTCTTCCTCATGTTTCCTGATGGGTGTAAAAGAATATCTCATTATGAACTAATTTGATGTTTTGTTACTAATGAGCATCTTTTCAAGTTTAGTCTCCATTTCTACATTATGTTCTAAAAAATGGCTGTTAATAACTTTTGCCCATTATTTTGTAAGTTATCTTTCTTCCTTCTGATGTACGGGAATTCCCTATATTACCTGGGTCCTTTGAAAGATACATCTATATCAGAGTAACATAGATCATGAGAAAGATAGATCTCCTTTGTAGGATGTATCTGTATCTTTGTCCCTTTTGTGGGCTTGTCTTTCCATTCTGTCACATAAAGAACAAAAGTTCTTACTGCAACATAGGCAAATTTTTTGTAATGTTTATTTATTTTTGAGAGAGACAGAGCACTAGTAGGGGGAGAGGGCAGAGAGAGAGGGGCCCAGAATCCAAAGCAGGCTCAAGGCTCTGCACTATCAGCACAGAGCATGATGTGGGGCTCAAACCTACGAGCCACAAGATAATGATGATGTGATCCAAAGGCAGATAGTTAACTGACTGAGCCACCATTTTCTTTAGGATTAGAATTTTAAATGTCTTGGGGCTCCTGGGTGGCTCAGTCAGTTAAGTGTCTAACTTCAGCTCAGGTCTTGATCCCGAGGATTATGGGTTCAAGCCCCGTGTTGGGGCTCTGGGCTGGCAGCTTAGATCCTGGAGCCTGCTTCAGATTCTATGTCTCTCTCTCTCTCTCTCTCTCTGCCCCTCCCCCGCTTGCACTCTTTCTCTCTCAAAATGAAACATTTAGGAACTTGAGGGTGTTATGCTCAACGAAATAAGTCAGGCAGAGAAGGACAGATACCATATGTTTGCACATATAGGTGGATTAGGAGGAACTTAACGGAGGACCATGGGGGAGGAGAAGGGGAAAAATAGTGGGGGAGAGGGAGGGAGGCAAACCATGAGAGACTCTTGAATGCTGAGAACAAAAATGAGGGCCGAGAGGGGTGGGGGAGAGAGGAAGGGGGGTGATGGGCATGGAGGAGGGCACTTGTGGGGATGAGCGCTGGGTGTTATATGGAAACCAACTTGACAATAAACCATTTTTTAAAAATTTTGTATCTCCAACACCTTAAAGGAAAATAAAAGGTATATGAAACATTAAAAAAACCCCAAACTTTAAAAGGTCTTAAAAGAAGCCTTCCTCTGCCCAACCTAAGGCCATAGTGGTATTTTCTTAAAATACTTTTTCTAAAAATTTAATTTTTTTAAAACTTTAAGAAAGTTTTTTACCTTTTATATTTATTTAGACTTGATTTTTGTGACATATGTGCAAATGTATTGGTTTTCAGTATTAAAAACTCCCATTATGTTGGACTTCCCAGTGAGATGATGGGAAAATGATGCTGGCAGTCTCAAATCTCTTTATAAGCAGTTAGCACTCACCCCTCTGCCCGATCTTGTCCTGAACCAGAGGAGGACTCTGAGTGCCAGTAACCTACAGAGATCTGAGCAACATTCACAGAAACGGTCACGACTGAGACTTGAGTTCTTCAAAGCACTAGCGTACGCAGTACTTAGTGCAGGTGATTGTCAAGAGTTGTGGTTTTTTGGTTTTTGGGAGGAGTAGAGACAGATTCTTAAGCAGCCTCCACACCCGACTCTTTAGATCTTACTTCACCAGTGAGATCATGACCTGAGCCGAAACCAAGGGCGGGACGCTTAACCAACAGAGTCACCCAGGAGCCCTAAAAACCGAAGAGTTTTCATTACGTTGACCAAAATTAAAAACAATTTTTAATGTTTTTATTTATTTTTGAGAGAGAGACGGAGCATGAGCAGGTGAGGGGCAGGGCAAGAGGGAGACATAGGATCCAAAGCAGGCTCCAGGCTGGGAGCAGTCAGCAGAGCCCAACGTGGGGCTCGGACCCACGAACTGCAAGACCATGACCTGAGCCAAAGTTGGACACTTAACTGACTGAGCCACCCAGGTGCCCCTTTTTAAAAAGTTTTTTAATGTTTTTATGCATAAAACTTCTTTACACTTGATTTAAATCCTGGCGAACAGAAACATCTCCAAACAGCAAAATAAATTTGCCCCCATGGAGAAATGGGGAAACCGGTGTTATTCTAAAGCAGGACCCTCTTTATACTCCGAGCAGCCACACGGTAGTGGACTAAAATAGTGAAAAGTTACAAATGAGTAATTAAAGGCAAAATCTGCCCCCAAACCATGGCAACCACTCTACCTCTAGTAAAAAAACAAGGCAAACAGTTCTTTAATACTTCCTCACTTTATTTTTTAAATTTTAATGTTTTTTATTTATTTCTGAGAGAGACAGCGTGAGCAGGGGAGGTCAGAGAGAGGGAGACACAGAATCCGAAATAGGTTCCAGGCTCTGAGCTGTCAGCACAGAGCCCGATGTGGGGCACGAACCCACGAACCGTGAGATCATGACCTGAGCCAAAGTCGGACACTTAACCGACTGAGCCACCCAGGTGCCCCTAATACTTCCTCACTTTATTAACAGGGTACTTATATATCTAAACATTTACTGTAAGTTTTCAGAGATATTTAAACTCTGAATTAACTTTCCATAATTAAGTTTCTTTAGGCACATCGGTTTGTATTTTATAGAAAACACGTATCTTTAGGTCACGGATAGGAAAGAGTACACCTTACAAATGTTACAAAGATGAATCCAAATCTCAGTGAACCTGAACCTCTCTCCCAAACCACAACCACTCGTTGAAATATTTAATGAGAAGAGAGACCCAAAACAATGGTTTAAACATAACACTGAGAGATTTTGGTGATTAAGAAATCCCTGAAAGAGTAGTAAGCCATGATTACTGGAAAGCTCAGAACACTAGCAAGGCAAAGTATTTAAGAGAAGGCCACAAACTGTCTTTTCCTACGAGGAGCTAGGAACTAAGGACGTCAGTTAGTAATGCATTGGAATGGCATTGCCTAGTGCGAGTGCTGCGCAGAAACTCCAGGTCACCTCTTCTTTATTATTTTGGATAAGCTTCCACTATCATCGCATGGCCCTGTAAGGGAGGGAGGGAAAAAAAAAGTTCCATTAAAGCAATGCAAGGCAAGGAATCCAGCCAGTCCTGGTCCTGCTTCTCAAATACCGTGTGTTGCTCTCAAACACGGGCAAGGGGAGCGTGGCCACTGGCATCAACTGGGTGGAGATCATGCTAAACATCCTACAACACAGAACACAACCCCCCATAACAAATGATTATCTGGCCCCAAATGTTAATAGAAACAACGCTGGGACCCTATACTCTAAATCCAGAATGCCAGATTCTTCCTCTAATTGCCCAGTCACATTTGCATCACTTATTTGGCGCTTGATGAAACAATGCCAAGTTTTATCTATTTTCTAAGTACATCATTTCCTCTCTCCTTCACCGTACTGTAAACTTCTAGAAGAAAGGTACTGGGTGGTGTTCTTCGTTCATTCACAAAAGCATCCAATACTGGGTTTTACTCCATGTGCTAGGTGAACGGTCAGGGAGCACACTCTAGAAACCACAAGCCACTAACCCGCGTGGACTGCCCACTCCGCACAAGACTGCGCACTGGCTATCTCTCTCAGGTAAGCCCGGCACAGACAGACAGGAGGGCGGCTCCAGTCCTGACCATGGCTTTCCCTAGACGAAGTTACACAGACTGAAAAGCACTTTTCATCATGAAGTCTGAAATACTCCAACTTACAAATAACTGACCCGTTGTTTCTTCAAAGCTTCTAAGACAAGCCGTAAAGGCTTTTAAATGCAAGATGTTTAAACTTTTATATAGCTTATTTATCTTGATCAGCAACAGACGGTTTCTGTAATCTGGAGGAAAACCAAATCTGCTTCCATCAGGATTGGGGAAAAAAAAGATGATTATCAGCCCTCCTTCTGGATTTTATTCCCAGAGTGAAATGCTGTAGCAGGTAAGAAGTTGTGTTTACAATGCAAGTAAGGCCAATGAAAGAAATCTGCAGAATAGCAAATTACCCCCAAATAAATAGCAATAAGTTATCCAGAGGTAAATCAGTTCTCCAATTAAGGTATAATTCCGTTTTTAGAAAGGATAATTTACTTCTTGGAGAGATTTTATAGATATGGCCTCATGGTGACTAGATGAGTAAAATTTTATTTAAAAAGAATATCTCAAAATGTTAATAATGATAGTGTCTTCTGAGGGAATTACAGGTGACTAATTAAAAAAAATTTTTTAAGTTTATTTATTTTGAGACAGAGACAAGTGGGGGAGGGGCAGAGAGACAGAGTCCCAAGCAGGCTCTGCATTCAGCACAGAGCCTGATGTGGGGCTTGAACCCATGAAACCATACCATGACCCGAGCTGAGACTAAGAGTTGGATGCTTAACTGACTGAGCCACCCAGGCGCCCTGCCTCTAATTTTTTCCTATACACTTTCTGTATATAAAAACATAATGAGCCTGTATTCCTTTTAAAAATAAAAAAATATATAAACATTATTATAGGAACAGAAACAGCTCGAGTTGAAAAACCATCTTCCTTCCAAAGTACGATCAAGAATTAGAGTTGCACCCTCTCCCCCCAAAGAGGTTGCTTTTTTCCTAGTTGTCTGTCATCAGAAACACTGCTCTGAGGCTGTTGTGAAGTTAACTAAAGGAACCGTGCTTCGAAGGAGCTGGTTTGGTTTCCAAGAAAACGGCTTTCCTGAAGCGCCTCTGCAGCTGCTGTGACATACCTGTCCACCAGCGGCACAGGCGGCCACCAAGCCATACTGGCCTCCCTCCTTCCGTAACCTGTTGGCAGCTGCCATGACCAGCCGGCAGCCCGTAGCTCCAAATGGGTGTCCCAGGGACAGCGATCCGCCCCAGTTGTTAAACTTCTCCAAAGAAGGTGACCCAACCTGGCTCCCACAAAAACAGACACAAACATAACGATGAGTTTACTTAAGTATTAAGCCGGACTCCTAGCAAGAAGAAGGTAACAGAGATAGAGAAAATTACTAACTTGAGACACATCGCATATTATTTTATTGTAAAGAAAGAAATTCTAGGTCAACTCTGAAAGACACGGTCTGTTTATTTTCATCTAACACCAGAACCGGAAGAACAAAAGACAACATAGAGTTTTAGTTTCATTTTTTCTAAAGATTCCCAGGAACTATTTTCCAACTAAGAAATAAATGCATTTTATTAAAACAGAAATATCTTCATAAAAAGGAACAGCTTTCCCCTTCATATTTTTGTCATCAGCCCAAATATTACTGTGCTTTGGAAATTCAAGGATACTTTTAATCACTTACCTTAGTTTTTCTACCCATGTAGTTTTGTGCAAACCAATCAGAATCCATGGCTTTGAAATTAGCCAAAATCTGACCCTACAAGGGAAAGGACCTTGTTATTAATGTCCCTTGACATTAAAGTTGAGCAAATCTTTAAATCAGTTTTCAGTGACATTTTCCTAAGGAAACATTTGCTTCTTTTGAAGGGCATCTAAGAGACCACTGCAAAAGGTGTCTTCAAAACTGCGCCACTGGATTCCTCACACTTATGTCCCTTCCAATAGTGTAGGTCAGTACTTCAAATATAAAGCTCTACTCATGTTTTAGTGCTATCATAAAACACACTTGGATCTCCCAAACACGGACTACATTTTTTATGATTACAGTCCTTTGATATGTATCTAAGTGACTTACTGAGAATGCTTCATGAAATTCAAAAGCGTCAATATCAGTCATTGTTAATCCTGCCTTTTCCAGAACTTTTGGAGTAGCATATGTTGGTCTAAAAAGAAGAAATAATGTGTTACAACTTTAATTTTTAAATCTAAGAACTCCTTATTCTCTAAGGTGAGTTTTAAATAAGGTATTATAATGCCCTCCACTCATTCACTGGTTCTTCTGTACAAATATTAAGTGCTGGGGACACAACAGTGAACTAAACAGACGTAGCCTCTGTCCTTATGAAGTTTATATTCTAGAGTCAGGGATATAGCTAATAAACTATGAAAGAAGAGGACAGACAAATAATGTGAAGAACTAGAAAAATACAGGGCACACAAGGGCAGAACATAAGGAAGAGCATGGCTAGTCTGAAGGACAGAGCTGTGAGGGATGGGAAGACAGTCCAAACACTAGGAGGCTTTTATAAAAGCCTATTACAGAGACTGTAGCAATATGAAGAAATGCTTATGACACCTTAATGAAAAAAATACATTATATATATGTGTATGTATATATATACATATAAATGTAGAAATTTATTAAAAAAAAGGAAAAAAATTTAAAACTATAAAATGATATACCAACATAAAGGATCATTTTTAAGAATCCAATACACAAAACAATTATGAACTCAGAACTTAATGTACTTTGAAATCTTTAAATAAATGTGGGTAATCAAATACTTCTAACTATAGTCCAAGGACATTTCTACACTGCTACCTACCCAAGTAAAAGTTGATCTTTTGGATCCTGAGACACATACACAAAATCCCTAGGTAAAAAACAGAGGGGTTAGTTCCAATAAAAAATTAAAGAAACCGAGGTGGCAATTTATTTGAACATTTACTTTACCTCAAATAGGCCTTTGGCTTATAGCCCATGGCCAGAGCTTTCTCCTCTGCCATGATCAGCATTGCAGATGCACCATCAGTCTGCAATGTGAAGCAGAAAAATAATGTTAAATTCTTCAGCCTTTCTGGAAGTCTCTGTACAACCAATTTCTATGTAGTGTTCCTGAATCTATCAACTAATTACACTGTCCAGAGAGATTTTATAAAACAAAACTATTTTCATTTTATCCACAATTAATAGGCAATGCATATATACGCGCTAACCCCATTTTTTTTAAGGAAGAGGGTAGAAGAACCTGCTCAAAAGTACCATAATTTTAAGCAGTACCATAATTATCAAAATGGACAAAGAGAATAGCTAACTTCAGAAGTATGTATTCATAATAAACCTAAGCCAAAAGATTTTTGCTTTTGGCACAGAAGATGAGAAATCTTAAGAATTAAACGATCTCTCATTTACTTACTTATTTTTACATTTTATGGACTGTTTCTGAGCTGTTTCCTGCCTGTGGAAGGAAACACAGGCTTCGAGGGGATCCGGAAGAAACAGGAAGGCAGCTGAGCATATCAGAACCATGGTCTTTCCTCTCTGGACACACCCCATATACTTTTTTCCAACTGACAAATCAAGAAGTTGAGAGACAAAGAGCTACCACTGAAAATAAGCTCTATACCATGACTTTATTAAAAGAAAGCTCAAAAAAAAGGAAAAATAACCCCAAACCCACTACTTTAGAGTTTGCAACACGAGAACAATTTCTACCACATTCTATGATTTTTAACTCAGTAACCCTGAAGGCACTACAGAGCTAAGGTCTGGAAACAGAGGTGAGACTAAAGATCATAAATGGTTTATGGACACTACATTAATATGTTCAATGGGCCATTGTGCAAAGTTGCAACGAAGGTGGTGTGTCCTCACGCTTCCCAAAGCCCACATGTCTGTGACATGCTGCCTCTGATGATGTGCATGTGTGACCTTCAGTGATGACACCTGCCCCTTTAGCACATCCCAGAGTAACCAAGGGAGTTCAGGGCCGGCAAGAGTACAGCCCACCCTGTACGGCCCCATCATTCATTGTGGTTGTGGGAATGATTCTCTAACCAGTTCTTCACCGCTCACACCTAACATCCTGCTGGGACCATTCCAGGCACCCCTCCCCGAGCCCAAGAGTGGGCATTCAGCAGTCACTTACCAAGGTCAAATACATCAACACACACCCATGTCTCCACACAGTGTATGCAAGTAAGGAAGCTATATTGTAAAAGAAACGCTGACCAGCTAAGACTCTACCCAGAAGACTATACCCCAAGGTGGCAGGAGAAAGAAACCACATCTTCTGAACAGAAACAGAATCAAAAGGGATGTTTACTTAAGAAGAAGCCAAGAAAACAAGGAAGGATATGAAGCTAGATGCTGATAAATAAAACCACCACCACAAGAAATGAGAGTAGATATATTGATTCTATATGTTTACAGGAAAATGCTTATAGAAATTGTTTATAGTAACATACCATTATAGAGCATCATTTTCTTTTTTTTTTTTATATTTTTATTTATTTCTAGGAGAGAGAGAAACAGCGTGAGCAGCGGAGGGTCAGAGAGAGAGGGAGTCACAGACTGAAGCAGGCTCCAGGCTCTGAGCTGGCAGTCAGCACAGAGCCCGACGCGGGGCTCGAACCCACGAACCGTGAGATCATGACCTAAGCGAAAGTCGGACGCTTAACCGACTAAGCCACCCAGGCGCCCCTAGAGCATCATTTTCTAACTGGCTGAGCTAAAAGATATCTTGTCACCCTCTCTGCCAACTTTCCACGTCATACAACTCCTCAAATTCACATCCTATGCTCCAACCAAGCTTCCCCCCGAAGAAACCCCTGTTCTCATACCTCTTTGCTGTTCCCCTTGCTTAGAAAGCATTTATTACACTTCTTGAACTGGCCTGTACCTTTCCTTCAAGATTTGCTGCTCAAATGCTACCTCCTCTACGGAGCCTCTCTGACTCTTTCCCTCTATGTGTCTTCTTGTTTAGGCTTGCTCACAACCACCCGCACACCTTCTCCTGGCTTTACAATCACTGGCCTTTCTACCCCCAGGGCCTAGCACAGCTAATCAAAGTTTCCTGCCTGGTTAAATGCCTGAAGAGAACAGCTTTTTTTTTTTTTCTCCTTAGTTTATTGTCAAGCTGGTTTCCATGTAACACCCAGTGCTCATCCCCACAAGTGCCCTCCTCCATGCCCATCTCCCCCTTCTCCTCTCCCCCACCCCCATCAGCCCTCAGTTTGTTCTCAGCATTCAAGAGTCTCTCATGGTTTGCCTCCCTCCCTCTCCCCAACTATTTTTCCCCTTCTTCTCCTGCATCGTCTTCCATTAACTTCCTCCTAGTCCACCTATATGTGCAAACACTTCTCTGCCTGACTTATTTCACTCAGCATAACACCCTCTAGTTCCATCCATGTTGCTACACGTGGCCAGATTTCATTGTTTCTCATTGCCATGGAGTATTCCATGGTATAGATAAACCACATCTTGACCCATTCGTCAGCTGATGGACACTTAGGCTCTTTCCATGTTTTGGCTCTTGTTGAGAGTGCTGCTGTGAACATTGGGGTACATGTGCCCCTATGCATCAGCACTCCTGTATCCCTTGGGTAAATTCCCAGCAGCGCTATTGCTGGGTCCTAGGAGAGTTCTATTGTTAACTTTTTGAGGAACCTCCACACTGTTTTCCAGAGGGGTTGCACCAGTTTACATTCTCACCAACAGTGTAGGAAAGTGCCCGTTTCTCCACATCCTCACCAGCAACTAGAGAACAGCTTTTTGTACCAGAATGGTGGCTAGATTAGGGGACTCCAAAGGCCTTAAAACTAGGATTCTATTTTTTAAAAATAATTCCATTTTAGTATTATTTTTATAACCGATAACTAAAGTTTTGCCCCTTATTGATAATACATACAAATAGATCTACTGAGTGGCCACAAGACAAAAGTCACTCATAAACCCAGAGCACACAGTTACCAGGAAAGAAGAATTTGCAGCCGTCACTGTCCCATAGGGCTTGATGAACGCAGGTTTTAGCTTGGCCATCTGCTCCAGAGACGAAGGACGAATGCCATTATCTTTGGTAACCGTATCTTTCCCTTAAAAAACATGAACTTTTTAACTCTAAGGAAGCACAAGCTTTATAGATCTTCTCTAGAGAAATAGGTTTTAAAAACTGTAAGAACAAATGAAATGTAAATCATAGCTATTTACTAAAAAAGAAAGTCTTTTACAGTTATCAAGATGTCATCGAATTTTAAACTACGCTTTTTTTTTTTAAGTAATCTGTACACCCAACATGTGTCTCGAACCTACAACCCCGAGATCAAGAGTCACATGCTCTCTCAACTGAGCCAGGCAGGCCCCCTGAACTATGCTTTGAAGACATATGGGAAATGAACAACATGATCTAACAAAAGGATACCCTACTTTCTTAAGATATTTATTCACATTTGGCTTCTCTTCTATTCAGAAATATGAAGAATTTTTAAAATGGGCATCTATATAGAAACTAAAATACAGCAGGAAGATTCTCATAAAAACTTTTTTTTTTTTCATTTTTATGTCTTTGAGAGAGAGAGAGACAGAGAGCAAGCGGGGGAGGGGCAAAGGGCGAAGGAGACACAGAATCAGAAGCAGGCTCCGGGCTCTCAGCTGTCAGCACAGAGACCGACGCGGGACTCGAACCCACGGAACGTGAGATCATGACCTGAGCCGAAGTTGGCCGCTCAACCGACTGAGCCACCCAGGTGCCCCAAAACTTCTCTTCTTTAAAATGTTGTGGGGCACCTGGGTGGCTCAGTTCATTACGTGTCTGACTCTTGGTTTCGGCTCTGGTCATGCTCACTGTTGTGAGATCAAGCCCCGCCCCTTGGGCTCTTCTGCGCTGGTGGTGTAGAGTCAGTCTGGGATTCTCTCTTTCTCTCTTCCCTCTCTGGGCCCCTCCCCAACTTGGGCACACACTCTCTCTCTCAAAATAAACAAACAAGCATTTAAAAAAATAAAATGTTGATCTGTTACAACATAAACTGAACCTTGAGTCCATGTTTAAAAGTGAGTATTCTGGACACAGAACCAACATACTTATTGAAAAGTCATTTGGGGCTTTGGGAGTTTCCGAAGCGATTCAAGACTCGCTAACAAGCGGCACGAAGCATACTCCTTTACAAAGCTGAGGAAGCCATTTTACCTGGTACTTTGAAGGGCACCACGTCAGACAGGAGTCCTTCATCCTGCGCCTTTTTGGCCAGGCTGTGAGAGCGCAGCGCGTACTCATCCTGGTCCAGCCGAGAAACAGCGAAGGCGGCGGCCAGTCGGTCCGCAGAGTGGCCCATGGTCTCACTGGTGGAGAACTCGGCCACTGCAGGGAGCTGGGGAAGGGGACACACAGGATCAGGTATACTGTCACAGGTGCTATACCATCCCCAGGGTTATCTGGGAAAGTCAAGACCAAGACAGAAGCTTTTTGTGAGCAGGGCATCTCTAAGGAGGGCTTACAAATTCTCATTTTCTAAGCACGATTTTTTCCCCCATCTTGAATGAATAATTAACCTTCCCCTGTAATTAGCAGAATCTACAAATGAGCATACGTGACCCCATGCTATTTTGCCCAATGCTGTGTCTTTGCGGGGGGATGCTTTGGAAACACAGGTCTTTACGTGAGAGTTCACAAGTCTTACCTCAGGTGACAGGAAATTCAATCTGAATTTAGAGAGTAAAGACAGTCGCTGGCCCAGAGTCTTGGCCTTATTGAGATCAAGCATCATCTTCCTCATTTTCCTTGAATGACGAATAGGGACATCAGACATTAACTCTACGCCACCTGCCACGACCACATCACACTGCCCAGAAGCGATCAAGCCAACACCTACAGGGCACAGGTTACAGGTACGTGAACACCTTTTGCAGAAATGCTCAGACCACTGACAACTGAAGCTTCTAAATTCTTGTTGTATGACCATTACCAGCATTGTATAACATGCGTAATTAAGCTTTTCATTTTCTCAGAGGGATAAAGATCATTTTTTTGAATGACTAACAAATCATTCAGTGCACTAGAGAAAAACAAGTTTCATTCAGTCCATATGGACAAGAGCTTCTGGAAATATCCACTGAACCAACTCTCAAACAAATGATATTCTAAACCAGAACATTCTGCATATTTTATAAACTCCCAGCTTTAGTTTTCACAAAGATTTTTTCCCCCTACAACGGGAATTTCTACCACAAGCTAGAGGACGTCTAGCTCTTGAAGATGGAAGGCAGCCCCCGCTCCTCTTTATGGCCACTGGCAAGCGCTTTGTGACTCTGGACGTTGTCACATGCTTCATAGAGTGGGGAATGCTCCCACTCACGGCCTCTGGAATTGTTCTCTGCCACTCACAGGGTAGGCTGCAACCTGGCCTTGATGCTACTAAGAGAGTACAGAATGATGTCATCCTTCAGGTTTCCTGTCTTTTCACAACAAGGACTAGCACTGCAAAATGTCCCACAATTTTGCTAGAGTTCGTTAGGAAACTTTGTAACTAATTATAAAAATGCCACAGGTGTGGGGAGAAAGCAGCAGAAAGAGTCTGTACCTCTACATAGTGATTTATCACTTAGACCACAACCTTCATGGGGGTGTATTAGACTTACTTAAAAATCAGACTAACTTAAAGATTATTTTTCTAATTTTTTAAAATGTTTATTTTTAGGGCGCCTGGGTGGCTCAGTCGGTTAAGTGTCTGACTTCAGCTCAGGTCATGATCTCACAGTTCATGGGTTCAAGCCCCGCGTCAGGCTCTGTGCTGATAGCTAGCTCAGAGCCAGGAGTCTGCTTCCAATTCTGTGTCTCTCTCTCTTTCTCTGACCTTCCCCTGCTCATGCTGTCTCTCTCAGAAATAAATAAAAACATTAAAAAAATTTTTTTTAAAGTTTATTTATTTTTGAGGTGGGGTGAGGGGCAGAGAGAGAGAGGAAGACAAAGAATTCAAAGCAGGCTCCAGGCTCTGAGCTGTCAGCACAGAGCCCAATGAGGGCCCTGAACCCATGGACTGTGAGATCATGACCTGAGCCAAAGTCGGATGCTTAACTGACTGAGCCACCTAGGTGCCCCGGGACTCACCTAACTTTATTTAAAAAAAATTTTTTTAAATGTTTTATTTATTTCTGACAGAGAGAGAGAGAGAGAGAGAGAGAGAATGAGCAAGGGAGGGTCAGAGAGAGAGGGAAACACAGAATCTGAAGCAGGTTCCAGGCTCTGAGCTATCAGCACAGAGCCTGATGCGGGGCTCAAACCCACGAACTGTGAGATCATGACCTGAGCTGAAGTCAGACGCTTAACTGACTGAGCCATCCAGGCACCCCTCACCTAACTTTTAAACCTAGCAGGTTATAAATTATCCATGACTCAAATTCAGAAGTACCCTCCTAGAGACAGACTTCTTTAGCTGATAATCCCTGCTGTGGCCAGCCACATTAGTGACGGAGAAACTACCTGAATGGTTGGGTCCCTCAGGTATAGACAGCAAGAAAAAAGTTGAGAACTACTGTCAAAAATCAAAAATGTTAAATATGACCTTATTTTTTAAAAAAGAAACAAATTCGGAGTCTGTGCTAATCATACGGTTCTGTTAAAAGTACTTTTTAATGATCATATAAACGACCAAGGAAAATTAGCATGTACCCTCTGCTTTCACGTAAACATACCTGTGGTCATGGCTTGGTTGGCAGAGATACAAGCCATGGTGACCGTGTGAGCAGGAGTCTTGTCAGAGAAGCCAGCTCCGAGGGCAGCCTTCAGGAAACACAGGAGTGAAACAGTCACTTCCAAAGGAAGTGTTACGTGGAAATGATGCTTTGAGCACCACTTCTCCATGTGGTGAATCAGGAAAGGATTTGAAGTTAATATTCTACCGAGTAATATTTAGAATAAAATTAAGCCCGTCACAGAAATGGCTCACTCATTTTTCATCCAGCCTTTAACTGACAAGCACTCTTCCAAATTCCGAGTAGCCGGTTTCTAGTGTGGGATCCAGGCTACAACACTCCGCTGTGTCACCTGATTTCTTGGCAGTATTTTGCTCTGAGCCTTTGGGAATATCAATATGTAATTTGATTTTAACTTAAATTCCCAAATAAGCTGAAAGTAAACCTTTTAAATACACCCGATGGAACAATGAAATCGATCATGGAGCAGGATCCTCACCATCTGTGTTCTTGCAACTGAAAGGCTTAGTGGCAAAGCAAAAGTCGTCAACCAGAAAGTGACTTCTAAAGAACCGACCACTCACACATGTAACAGCCTTTCCACTCAGTTCCATGCCTGCCCTCCACTCATTCCCCCTACTGCTAGTCGGTCTCTCTCCGTGACTGTCGCACCCTTCAGATGGCACCCTTAGATCCGCTGCAAAGACAACTTGGAAACTTGCCAATATGAAGGACTTCAAATAGTTGAAAGAAACTTTGCAAAACTGCCTAATCCCCAAGTAAGCATCTTACAAATAAGGGTCAGACCAGCTAACCAAATGGAAAAAGAAAAAACTGTCCAGGATGACGATATAATAGTTGCTTCAAAAGAGAACCATTTGAGGGGTTGACAAGAACTGAAGCCCTCCATTAATCTTGCAAGATGGCCTCTACCTCTATCACGATGGCAAAGTAAAAGCTAAACAGAACATGAAGACATCTATTATTTTGCTGTAATACTTACTGGGGAAATTAAACATAAATGTGTGATTCCATTTTTTGCCTAAGTAAAGAATGCATAGCTACAATAAAATATTTCAAAATATTAAAGTTACACTTTAAAAATACTGTTCTCACTGTCCCCCCACCAGCCACCACCACTGCTATTTATTTATGAGACTCTGGTTCCCATTAGGGGAATTCTTTTTTAGTGGCTCTTTTCTGAAACTATTTTAACTATGCTCAGAATAAAGATCTCCTGTAATTTGGTAAAATAAACATGTTTCCAAAGCCTAGATTAAGTAGGCTCAGTGTTTCTTAAATAATTTTTACTTTTTTAAAGTTTATTTATTTATATTTAGAGAGAGGGTGCACACCACAGGAGCACCTGAGCACGCATGAGAGTGGGGGAGGGGCAGAGAAAGAATCTCAAGCAGGCTCCACGCTGTCAGTGTGGAGCCCGACACAGGGCTCAAACTCACAACAACTGAGACCATGACCTGAGCTGAAACCAAGAGCTGGCCGCTTAACTGACAAGCCACCCAGGCACCCTACTTACACCACCTATGTATCATCATCTATAGAGATCTAAGTGCGTCATAGTAGTGTACATGCAGTATAACCTTATTCTGGCCTTTCCAGGCAGGCTTGATACTAAGTGCCCAACCTGCTTTGCTGAAAACGACACCCTGGCATTGGCACGTCAGCCTCTCAATGCAGACCAACTCAAAAGGAAGAAAGGAGCAAATGTCCAGGGGCCAGGGGAGGAGAGCACGCCAGTGGGGCAAATGTAAAGGGCACTCAGGTCGTATGGCCCAATCCTCCCAAGGTCCTTTCTAGCATGTATTACACCCTTGGCCCCAGCTGACTCTTAGCACTGAAAAAGCTTTAAATAGAAATGGTTTCTGGTGAACCCTGTTCACATGCTTCTATTTAAAGGCTGAACAGCTCTCAAGGCAAGCTTAGGCTCTAGATAGCACACTAAGGAAAAAGGAGGAAGGTTCCTCTTAGTTAAGTAGGAGAGCAGGGAAAGATGCAGAGGCCTGTCAGTAAAGTCAGGTTCATGGAACTCGGCATCAGAAGCCTTTAGGATTTCTTATAAACATAATACAGACGACAGGTCCTTACAAAGTTTTCTAGCTGAAGTTACACTGGCTTTTAGGTTACAACACAACTATAGACAGACATCCTCACGACATACTGCCTCAGTGCAACCTTCCCCTGGAGTGGAATGCAACTGGCATTAGCACAAGGCAGGGACAGGAAACCCCCACATGTCAGTCCAGAGCTGAGATTTGCTGACACATGTAAAACTCTCAGACAAACATAGGGAAAAACATTATGGCTTTAAGTATTAGAACAGAAATATTGAGAAAATTGAAACACTTGGTATTTAGTTTTCAAGTGCTTGTATAAGAGCCACTTTGTTTTTTTCGGAATACAAAAGTTGAAGGTGTATAATAACTAGGTTGATGCAGTCATAAAATTGTCATATTCAACACAGTCAGAAATGTGAAAGCCTGGGAAAAACCAAAAACATCAGGATGGGGAAAAAAAAGCATTGTCTGTTCATAATTTTTGCCTGCCTCCCTAACATTCTACAGTCGATTCTGTGGGCATAAGTAACGCCAGACCTTCAGCAATGTTAGCATTTACTGGCAGGTAAAAATGTGGGGCAGAACCAGTACTTCCGGTCCTGCTCATTTTCCCTCCTGGTTGGCAGTGATGGAAATTACTGTCCCCACAGCTGTATGAACACAGAGACAGGGCAGGCACAAAACTAGAAATAAAGAAAATGCTTAACACACTGAAATGCGCTTTATCCAAATAATCACTTTCAAATTGAAACAAAGCCCAGAAGATGTGCTCGGACTATTAATGCCTGTGTGATGTGTCACAGGAGTTTAAAGGTCTGTTGCTATCTCGGTAGCCACCAGTGAACACTGCCTGGAGCTATGCCAACTAGGATAAAAGTAAACTCCTGTGAAACAGTTTAAAAAAAAAAACCACACACCCTAGGTCTCATCTAGTTAATGGGAATAAATGAATCAGCAAGGATACCTCCGGCAAAAACCATGTTATGAAATAAGTTCTTTGCATAGTGTTGAAATTTTTAGTTAATCAGTAGCTATGATAGCATTATAAAAGCCACATTATCCATACTTTCCCACAATCTCTATTACCCTGAGATAGAAAAATGACCATATCCCAATGCAACTCAAATAATTGATTTGATTTATAACACAGAATAAACATATACTAGTCCAGTGCAAGTCATTTGATTTATACTATAATTCTCTTAAATATTAAATAACATTCATTATTCAAATTGTAAACTCTCATTTTAAGTCAAATATAACCTTACTTAATAAATTTTAATAACTTTTGAATAATTCTGTTCATTGAAATTCAAATGGATTCTCCTATCAATCTCTTTGAATAGTAAGAAGTTTGTTTTACTCACCTCTCTAGCCACATTGCTCGTCTTCACTTCCTGTATAACTGTGCCAAAGATGATATAATCAACAACATCCTTTGGGACATTGGTCCGATGCAGCAAACCCCTGAGAGCAGAAGTCCAAAGCAATAAATAGACAGTGGCACAGGTCATCACATAAAACACTGTAATTCCTTTAAAATGACAAGCTAAACAGGAAGAATAAAAAATAATTTTGAGGGGTGCCTGAGTGGCTCATTTGTTTAAGTGTCTGACGTTGGCTCAGATCATGATCTTGTGATTCATGAGTTCAAGCCCTTTATTGGGCTCCCTGCTGTCAGTGTGGACCCCATTCAGACCCTCTGTCCCCTTCTCTCTCTGCCCCTTCCCGTATGTGCGCTTTCTCTCTAAAATAAAACATTAAAAAAAATAATTTAGGAAAGGATAAAACAGATACATAAATATAGTAACGTTAGTAGGAACCAAAGTTTCAGCCAAAAGAGAGGAGAGAGACAAATATAAAATCAAAGAGGTGAAGTAAAATCCCAGTATATTAAATTTAAATTTGGATGATGGGTGATGGGCATGGAGGAGGGCACTTGTTGGGATGAGCACTAGGTGTTACATGGAAACCAACTTGACAATAAACTATAAAGAATAAAAATAAAATAAAATAAAAATAAATTTAAATTTGGAGTACCAATATAAACATATGATTTAAGCTATATATTTATCTTGTTCTGCCCACTGATAGAGACTAGAAGCAGTAACACTCCAGTAGGAAAGGAATGAGCCAATCTTGAACTCAGACTTGGTTTCTAAATGCCATTCCCTATTGAAGGAATTAGCTTTTTACTTTTTTCTTAAGATTTTATTTTCTTTTTGAAGTTCACTTATTTGAGAGTGGGGGATGACCAGAAAGAGAGGGGGTGAGAGAGGATCCCAAGGAGTTTCCCTGCTGTCAGTCTGGACCCCGACACAGGGCTTGATCTCATGAACCATGAGATCATGACCTGAGCTGAAACCAAGAACCAGACACTTAACTGACTGAGCCACCCAGGTGCCCCTACAGACTTTTAAAAAATTTTTATTTATTTTTTAAATTTACATCCAAGTTAGTTAGCGTATAGTGCAACGATGATTTCAGGAGTAAAGATTTTACTTTTAATTAACCTCTCCACCCAACACTGGTCTCGAACTTACAACCCTGAGATCAAGAGTCACATGCTCTACCAACTGAGCCAGCCAGGTACTCCAGGAATAAGCTTTTTAAAAAAACGACTGAGGCCAGGTCTAAGGCAAGACAAGTACAAAGTGAACCTCACTGATCTTTTTTGTGTCAAAAATAAGTACATAAAGACTAACGGGATATCAAAAACAGGAACATGGGTATACACATTTGTCAAAATTCATCAAACTATACACTTAAATCTGTGCTTTTATTATATTCAAATTACACCTCAGAAAATAATATTACACTAAAAAACAAAGGGACATAAGAGCTTGGGGGTGTCTGATTCACTCAATTAGTAGAGTATGCAACTCTTGATCTCAGAGTGTGAGTTTAAGCCCCACATTAGGTGTAGAGCCTAAGGAAGGAAGGACGGAAGGAAGAAGGGAGGGAGGAGGGGAGAGAAGGAAGGAAGGAAATAAGGAAGGAAGGAAGGAAGGAAGGAGGGAAGGAGGGAAGGAGGGAAGGAAGGAAGGAAGGAAGGAAGGAGGGAAGGAGGGAAGGAAGGAAGGAAGGAAGGAGGGAAGGAAGGAAGGAAGGAAGGAAGGAAGGAAGGAAGGAAGGAAGGAAGGAAGGAAGGAACAAAGAATTTGAAGGAGCTCCCAAAGATAAAATGTGTGAGCTTCAAAAAGAATATTGACTAAGCCCAGCTATAACACAATAAATAAAATGGGGCACCTAGGCTGGCTCAGTCAGTGGACTCTTGATTTTGGCTTGTAAGTCAAGCTCCATGTTGGGTATAGAGCTTACTTAAAAATAAAAAAATCTTTTTAAATGGTTATATATTTTATTTTTTGAGAGAGGGAGGGAGGAACAGAGAGAGAGGCAGACAGAGAATCCTAAGCAGTCTCCACACTGTCAGCACAGAGCTCACTGAGGGGCTTAAACTCCTGAACTGTGAGATCATGACCTGAGCCAAAATCAAGTCAGATGCCCAACTGACTGAGTCACCCAGGCAGTCCAAAAATAAAATCTTTAAGAAAACACAATAAATAAAAATCTGTAAGTCCTAAAACAAAAAGAAAGAAAAGAAAGAAAAGCTGCTCTTTACAGAAAGATACCAGCCAATAAATGTAGGAGGAATAACAGAATTAGGAAAATCATAAATTTGTAACCTCTAATATAATAAAACTGATCCAGGCAAAACTGTCAATGAATGCTAAAAACCATCTGGTGAAAGACTGCTGGGGAAGGGGCTAGTCACATGATGCTACGATATCACTTTACAGATTAATTTACTAATTGCAAAGGAAAAAATGAACCTTTATACTCAAAAGATCTGGCAGTCTGACCATCATGGCTGAGTGGTTAGATTAAGCATCACCCATGTCCTGACATGACGGAATACCACATGCCTAAACCCATAAAGCATTCTTCCCAAATTGTTTAACCTGAAATGAATCCAGCCTCTAGAACAGTGTACAGGAAATTCATAAGGGAAGTTAAATATCACCATGAAGAAATCCAGAATATGGGACATTTTTTCAAACAGGTGGCTAGAGTTTTCAAAAGTCACTGTCATGGGGTGAAGGGGAGGGGGAAGAAAATGTTCTTAATTGAAGAGACTGAAGAGACCTATCCATTTGTAATATGAATCTCGACTGGGTCCTGGCTTGGGGGGAAAAAAACCAATGAAAGAAAAGACATTCTTGGAACAATTATGGGGGGCACTGATGATGAACTGAACAGTTAGAAGTTATGGAATCACTTACAGTTTTAGCTACAGTAACAACATCCTGGACAGCAGAGGAGGTCCTTATGCTCAGGGGATAATCACTTGACCTATTTAGGGCTGAAGTTTCAAGACATCTGCAACTTACTGTCAAATGCTTTATTAAACTATATACATATGGCAAAATGGTTAACAATAATTAAATCTAGGTGGGAGGCATTTAGGTGTTCACTACATTATTCTTTCAATTTTATTGTACATTTGACAGTTTTTAAAACAAGTTGCAGAAAAACTTGCAAAGCACCAGTGTGGGATCATAATCAGAAATTGGCACCGTCATCAGAAATAGGAAAACAAGGGACACCCAGGTGGCTCAGGTGGTTAACCATCCATTCAGCTCAGGTCATGTGCTCCTGGTTCATGCTTAAGCCCGCGTTGGGCTCTATGCTGATAGCCGGTAGGAGCCTGGACCCTGCTTCAAATTCTGTGTCTCCCTCTCTCTCTCTGCCCACTCTCCCTCCACCCTCACTCACACTCTGTCTCTGTCAAAAATAAAATAAACATTAAAAAAAGAAGAAGAAATGGGAAAACAAGCTAGTTTTAGGGAAAAGATAATTTTTATTTTTTAATTTTTATTTATATTTTTGAGTAGGCTCCATGAGCAACATGGGGCTCAAACTCACAACCCTGAGACCAAGAGTCACGTTCTTGGGGCGCCTGGGTGGCTCAGTCAGTTAAGTGTCCGCCTTCGGCTCAGGTCATGACCTCACAGTTCATGGGTTCGAGCCCCGCATCAGGCTCTGTGCTGACAGCTAGCTCAGAGCCTGGAGGCTGTCTTCAGATTCTGTATCTCCCTCTCTTTCTGATCGTCCCCTGATCACGCATTCTCTCTCTCTCTCTCTGTAAAAAAAAAAAAAAAAAAATAAAAAAAAAAAAAAAAAAAAAAAAGAGTCACATTCTCTACCAACTAAGCCCAGGCACCCCGGTTAAGTTTTCTTTTTGATATGCTGCACTTAGAAGGGTCTAAGAGGTCAAATTAGGAGATTTGGGAGCTCTCCACATAAAAAAAATAAAGATTAAGTAGATGAGATTTTTTTAAGAAAAAGCATGAATATATAGAAATTCAATGCTATAAGAACTAAAACTTGCCGAACACTTGTAAGAAAGATGAAAAGATCTGTTTTTTTAAAGTAGAGAACAATTGGGGTGCCTGGATGGCTCAGTCAGTTGAGCATCCAACTTCGGCTCAGGTCATGATGTCGCAGTTTACCGGTTCAAGCCCCACCATCCGGCTCTGTGCTGACAGCTCAGAGCCTGGAGCCTGCTTCGGATTCTGTGTCTCCCTCTCTCTCTGCCCCTCCCCCACTCACTCTGTCTCTCAAAATAAAACAAAAACATAAAAAATATTTAAAAAAAATAAAGTACAGAAGAATCATTCAGAAGATGGAAGGAAAACCTTAAAGGCATAATATTAATAAGTCAAAGGAAGATGGGGTCAAGTATAGCTGACAGGTCGATGCTAGAGAATACAAAGAGACCAAGGCCTGGTGAAAGGCTTGTGCATTTAGTGGCCACAAAGCCATTAAAGAGAGAAGCTTCTGAAAGTATGGTTACTGAAGAACAGTAGGAAAGGAAATAATTATTATGAGATAAAGGGAAATGGATGGCTAAGAAAAGAGAAGTAATTGGTGCTTTCATTCATTAAGTCTGGCATGAAGAGAAGAAAAAGAACCAGAGGGGCAGAAATGTCAACTGAAGGGCTTTTTCAAACTAGAAGAGCACAGAGGCAAGGCATCGATGAAAAATGAATGAAGTGATTGCTTCACACGCCACTCCCACAGCAGAAACAGCCACGCAGTGTAGGACTCTCATCAAATTACTCACCTATCTCAGTCTCCTGGAACCATATCTAATTTTACATTCTTACCTGGTTTACACATGAATCTTCAAGTCTTATTCCAGATTTCTTTCTAGATAAATATTAGCTCCCATCTCAAATAATCCACAAATATACATTCTACATTTACACTGCTCCAGTTATAACTGGTTAGCTGGCTACAGCACTCATGAAAGAATAGGGTCATACTACGAGGCTGTTTGTCAAGCCTGCAAAATAAACACTCTTGACACCTACCAGCTGCTTGAATCAGTTTTGCACACATGCCCAAAATGAAGCATAAGTAAATCTTGAAAAAGCTAGAAGTGTGTGTTTCTCACCACATAAAAGTTCATATATCCCAGATATGGAAATCCTATTAAACATGTTTCACATGTAAAAATTAGAGTAACAACTAAAATAAAACTGCGTTTACTTACAAAAGTGCCGCTCTAGCCAAATCATGAGGCATCAGCTCCTTATAGCTGAGGAAAGAAAAGAAACAATTTAAAATAAAAGCCTAGAACATTAACAATGTTCTCATTCTATTCGAAATACCTAGAGATACCATCTAATATGCTTCTGCAAATGCACTTCACTTTTTTATCTAATGCAGTCCATCATCCCAATGAGGCAAGAGTATGACTACCATTTGTCATCCTTAGCAATCTGGCAAGCCCTAACTCCTACCGGGCTGGCTAAGAATGTAACAAAGACACGGCCCAGCATCTGACTGTTCACCACGACATATGTAACATGCTCTTTAAAACCAAACTCCACCTCTACAGTTCTCTTTCTTTTTTACTTCATTTCTTAAAATATATTATTTACTTTGTAATGTCCAAAGGGACCTGAGGCATGTTTAGGATGTTTTCAGAAACTTGTTGAAAGAATTTAAGATTTACAACAGAACTGGAAAGACAGGAAGAGATCCTGAATACCTTTTGCCTGGCTTCCTCTAATGCTAATATCTTATCTAACCATGATGCACTCCAAGAAGTTAGTACTGCTACAATATTCACTAAGCTGCTAACCGGGTCTCAGCAGTTTTTCTACTAATGCCTGCTTACTAGTCTGTTCTAAGACCGCATCCATGTACCTAGCTGTCCTGCCTCCTTTGTTTTCTCCAATCTGTGACAGTTTCTCAGCCGTTCCTTGTCTTTTGTGACCTTGACACTTGAAGACGAGGGTCATGGGTTTGGGGAAGGAGTACCAGGAAGTAAAGTGCCCTTCTCACTGCTTCAGATCAGGATGTACATGACCGCAACGTGACACCACTACTGATGCTAAATTCATCACTTGGGTTAAGCAGTGTCTGCCAGTTTTTGTTGCTATTTTTCCCTTTCTGCACTCAATTTGAGTACAGAAGTGAGTTACCAGTCTGGACCTCACTCAGAAGGAAGAGAATTCAGTTCCACTTTCTACTGGCAGGAGTAACAAAGGATCTGTGGACATGTTAAAAGCATCACAGTAATTAATAAGTATTTGGGGGGAGAGAGTTTGAGGCAATGCAAGTATCTTGTTTCTCAACATTTCTCACCTACTAATTTCAGCATTCATTCATACATCTTCCTTGTAGCAATTACTACTGTGGTGTTCCACTGGGGATTTACTTATTTTCCTCATTCCTTCTATATTTATTGGCTGAAATTCTTCAGTAAACATGATGTGCCCCTTCTCTCTCATTTATGTATTTATTCAATTACTTATTTATGTAACATTAGACTCACATATTTATTCTTTGGGTTATGATGTAATACTCTGTAATTTATTTTATTGATCAAATTGTTCTAGCTTTCATGATTAGAAGTTATTTCAGGTTGGTCCCATGTCCTTTTCCCAGGCCTTTTTTTTTTTTTTAAAGCACTTCTTGACCTGTAAGCACTACAAAATGCTCCAGCCTCATCATGTATTTTCTTTGGCTCAGCCCTGGTCATTCTTCTAGGTGGCCCTGGTTCCTTATATTGAAGAACAGAATTTAGAAACCAAGATCTGGGTGTAAACTCTATTTAAATGTCAAAATTAAATTCCCTTTAAGTCAAAGATTCAACCATTGGATTGAATAAGAAAGTTCATTCCTTAAGTTTCTGAAAATCAAAACCTAAAACTCCAAAAATGTTTTTATTTTCACTCCAAATCACAGAAGAATTATCCATAGTTTTCCAAATCTTTCACGGGTAAAATCGGTTCCCTCAAATTTAGAACAGAGTAATCTGGGGAAACATTGTGTGTCAATTTTAAAATGTCCCAAAAATTATTTATCATTTTACAATGTTAACTCTCACGTTCCTACACCCTTCCCCACGAGGACAATTAATAGACTCCCAATCCCACTGCTGGCGTCCATTTCTACAAGTGTTTCCCAAATGCCCTCCCCTTAAAAGAACCTGGTTTTTCAAACAGCACTCAAGTTAAAAAGCAAACTTCCCTCATATTGAAGAGAAAAAGATTTTTTTCCACCCAGAAAATGATCTATTATAGAAGACCTATTTGTTACCTCAGTCATAACATCAATCCCATGACTCATTTGTCTTCTTTATAAATTCTTCTATTTTTTGTCACCTTTGTCCTTTACATAAATATTACCTTGAAATTTTTTCTTTCTTTCCTATCAAGTTTAATTTCTTATGTTGCTCCAAGTTTATTGCTTCTCTGTACCACTTAGTTGCCTATGAAATCTGTCATCTTAGTTAAGATCCTGAATTAGACTAAAACACAATAATAAACAACAAAAGGAACCCCACACCAATGTGGTGAATATCTCAAATCAAATTTTATGCAAATGCTAATTACAAAAGAAAGTGTTTATATATTGTAAATAAATGATATAGTTGAACACGTTCCAATTTCTTTTTTTTTAACTTTTTTTTTTTGTTTATTTATTTATGAGAGACAGAGACAGAATGAATGGGGGAGGGGCAGAGAGAGAAAGGGAGGCACAGAATCCAAAGCAGGCTCCAGGCACAGAGCCCAATGTGGGGCTCGTCTCCACCAACTGTGAGATCATGACCTGAGCCGAAGTCGGACGCTTAACCGACTGAGCCACCCAGGCGCCCCTACCAATATCTTAATAATTAGTAAAACAGCTGGAAATAAATATCTACATAGTGTACAAGCAACCCTTACAAAAAAAGGATGGTCTTCCTGGCCTAGAACTTTCTGCTCTTGATAGAACTTTCTTTTTCTACCCTGCTGCTGCGAAGTACAAGGAACATCTCCTGTCCTCACTTTCCTGCCGCTACAGCTTCAGATTCTTTCGGCTACTGCTCGTGTCGGTCCAGGAAAAAGATTATAGAGAAAAATGGGTTACTCTACTGAGACAAGAGAGCGAGTGAAGACACATCACCACCACTTACTTACAGCATTACTTCTATAAGAAATACTCTCTAGGTTCTCAGCTATATGTTTAAAAAAGAACATTTTCTGTGTACGTGTGTGTGTGTGTGTGTGTGTACTCACACACACACAGAGGTATGTATCTTTGACAAACAATGGCATTATACACACTGCTCTGCATCTTGCTCTTTACACTTAACATATCCTTCAAAGTTTCTAGATTAGTACATATTGATAGGCCTCACTATTCTTAGCAGGTGCCTAACATTCTCCAGTGCATTTTTAAGTTAGTGACTGCTTGTTCAAAATATGAATATCAGAACAACCTAAACAAAATAGAACTAGTTTCATTTAGTTTGAACCTCATTACCAAAGTCCATTATCAGCTTTTGGACAGACTGGGCCCCACCTGGGGATAGAAAAGGAGCAGACAAGTCTAATGAGAACAGCAGTTTGGTTCTGGGAGATTTTTGTACTCTTCTAGGATCATTCTGGTTCTATTTACTTGGGGTTGTGTTACGCTGGGATTGGGCCAGGCTGTCAACTGCAATTCAGATCATTTCCAGGAAGCCAAAGCAGTGAATTAAAGGTCCTTCTGAATGCCCATGGGCCCACAGCCTCAGTATTCAAACTTCTGAAGGACAGAAACAATGTACTGATCTCCAGACAAGAAAAGCATCTCCATTGGAACTAAGGTATCTCGACCCACACAGACATTTTGGTTTTCAAAATAGGCCTGGTTCAATCTAAAACTATACTAAGCTTGTTCATGAGAAAGGATGAAAAAGAAATTATGCCATTTTATTTTACCACTAGCTTGACTTATTCTGTATTAATTTCATTAAAATGCTATCCATACATCAGTCCACTAACAACAGTACTACCTACTGGGTTACATTTACAAAGACTGCTTTTGAAAGAGTCTTAAAAGAAGAAATAAATCAAGTAGGTGGGGTGATGGATGTGTTAATTAACTGGATTTTAGTAATTATTTCACACTGTATACATATATGAAATCATCACATTGTATACCATAAAAAAAATCACGTTATACAACCTAAATATATACAATTTTCATTTGCCAGTGATACCCTGAATAAAGCTGGAAAAGAAAAAGGAAAAAAAACAAGAATGAACACAATCATTTCATACTTACGAAGTGCCTGACTGCAAAAACGGAATGCGAACACCATCCACTACCACAATATTCCTTATGTTGGGTTTGGCTAAGGTTTTCTTTGACTTGGTCTGGGCAGCTTTAAAGAAAAGTTCAAAGAACTATTAATTCAAATATATGAAGTCAGATGACTTTTTACATTTTTAAAGACAGACACTCTTTATGAAGAGTTACAACATCCAATGCCAAGCTGCATTTGCCATTTACCAAACCAGCTGAATTAAAAATAAAAATTTAAAAAGGCTAAGAAATTGACTAGCATTTATAAGTTTCCAGACAATATTTAAGGTAAATACAGAGATTATACCTAATAATGGTAAATTAATTAATGAGGCTATTCCCACCATTAACAAAATTGTTTCTTTTTATCAAGTGTTCGACAATGTATCACATTGAAGACAACCGATGTGACAATTGTCTGCTTCCTCTCAGAAGTCCCAGGGTGCCTGGCTGGCTCAGTCATGCGACTGAGAGCATGCAGCTCTTGATCTCAGGGTTGTTAAGTTCGAGCCCCACGTTGGGTATAGAGATTACTTTAAAAAATAAATCCATGCTTATATGGTCAATTAATCTATGACAACGGAGGCAAGAATATACAATGGGGAAAAGACAGTCCCTTCAACAAATGGTGCTGGGAAAACCGAACAGCTGAACGTACAAAACTGAACCTGGACTACTTTCTTATACCATGCACAAAAATAAACTGAGGAGTTAAAGACCTAAATGTGAGTCCTGTAAACATCAAGGTCCTAGAAGAGAGCACGAGAAGTCATTTCTTTGACATTGGCTGGAGCAATACCTTTCTAGATATGTCTCCTGAGGCAAGGAGAACAAAAGCAAAAATAAACTATTGGAACTACATCAAAATAAAAAGCTTTTGCACAGTAAAGGAAATCATTGACAAAATGACAAGGCAACTTACTGAATGAAAGAAGATATTTGCAAATGATATAGCCAATAAGAGGTTAATATCCAAAATGCATAATTTATACAACTCAACACACACACACACAAAAATAATCTGATTAAAAAAGGCAGAGGGTCTGAACATTTTTCCAAAGAAGACATACAAATGGCCAACAGACACATGAGAAGATGCTCAACACCACTAATGATCAGGCAAATGCAAATCAAAACTACAATGAGATCACCTTACACCTGTCAGAATGGATAAAATCAAAAGACAAGAAACAACAAGTGTTAACAAGGATGTGGAGAAAAAGGAACCCATGTGTACTACTGGTAAAAATGCAAATTGGTGCAGCCACTGTGGAAAACAGTATGGAAGTTCCTCACAAAATTAAAAATGGAACTGCCCTATGATCTAGGGGCGCCTGGGTGGCTTAGTCAGTTATGCGTCCAACTTCAGCTCAGGTTATGATCTCATGATGCGTGAGTTTGAGCCCTGTGTCAGGCTCCATGCTGACAGCTCGGAGCCTGGAGCCTGCTTTGAATTGTGTCTCCCTCTCTCTCTGCTTCTCCCCACTCACACTTTCTCTCAAAACAAAGAATACAAAAAAGCTAACTCAAAAAGGATATACACACCACTATGTATACTGCAGCATTACTCAGAATAGCCAAAATATGGAAGCAACCCACAGATGAATGAATAAAGATGTGACATGTACACACACATACATGCACACACACGATCAATCGAATATTACTCAGCCATAAAAAAAGAATGGTATCATGGCATCTGCGACAACACGAATGAACCTAGAGGGCATTACACTAAGTGAAGCAAGTCAGAGAAAGACAAATACCATATTATCTCACTCGTACCTGGAATTTAAGAAACAAAACAAATGAACAAAGAAAAAAGAGACAAACAAAAAACCAGAGTCTTAAATACAGAGAACAAACTGGTGGGTTGCCAGAGGGGAAGTAGGCAGGGAAAATGGGCAAAGTAGGTGAAAGGGATTAAGTACTCACTTATCTTGAGGAGCATGGAGTCCAGAACTGCTGAATTTTTACATTGCACACTTGACACTAATACAACACTGAATTAATTATACTTCAATAAAAAAAGAGTAACCTTTCTCTAATATTTTAATTAAAAAAAAAAAGAGTATATGCTGTGCTACACAGCAAACAAACAAAACCCCCCCAAAAAACCACAACTCTAAAATACAGAGATTAAAACTAAAGTTCCCTCGTGATGCCCTCCCCTGCCCTCTTATTTCCTTTGAAGGAGATACTGTTAATTTGGTGTATAACTTTCAAACTTTTTTCTCTTTAAATGCACATACATGCGTACGCTGACATGTCATGTATAGTTTTCTGACCTTACCATACCTACTCGTACCACAGACAACTGTTTATGATAAACAGCCACAATCAGCTTGAAGGAGACGGTAGTCGAAGCTAATAATCATGATAAAATGGGGCACATGGATTCCCGTAAGCTGTAATGGAGATGCACTCGTGAAGGACACAGAGGCCCAGGGAGCTCAGCAAGGAGACCACGGCAAACCCAAGCATGTGGTGCTAAAAGCCAGGATAAAGGCAGTATCAATGTGTGGCTGGAAAGGAAGGGAGCAATACAAGAGATTTTATAAAGGAAGACGAATCATCCCGGTGATCAATCAGATACGGAAAGAAAGGACAACAGGATTATAAAGGAAGCTTAGAGACTAAGAAAACATAACTATTCTACACAGAGAAAGAACTGGTTTGGGAAGAAAGATGACTTCCCTCTTAACTATGTTAACTGTGAAGTGACAGAGACACACCCAGGTGGATATGTCCACGTGACAAGGTAAAGCACTGAAGAGAAGTGAGGCATAGTTTGGAGAGCGTGAGGTACTCGCAGTTCAGAACCCAGAAGAAAAACAGAGAAGATATTACAGCACTTGCTCACCCATTACCCACTCTACATGGAGCTGCCCTGCTTAGAGTCCCTGCCAAAGGGGCAGCCATAGACGCCTCGTCCCTAAGCCCACAGCCATAGCTGATTAGATTTCAGGTGGGTGCTGGACCACCAGAATCAATCCATAGAGTGGCCAGCCAGTAACCCATGTTATCCACCCGTAAGTGATAAGCTGTGCCAGTCAGATTCTTTCTCTTAGGAATCTATGCAAATAAGTATGAAGAGAAATACTAATTAGCGGGAGCTGAAACGATGCTACGAGGAAAAGCCAGGGCACTGGTAAACTGAAGTCGCTTGTAAGCCAGTTATGGGGCGGCAAAAGCCTTGAGTGAGCAAAGAAGCCAACAGGAAGAGTGAAGAAGGATATAAAGAAAGAAGAGAAAAGCCAGGAAAGAACGCACCACGTGGCGACGCCGGCCGCTAGGGCTGCCCGGATCCCACCGCCTTCCCAGCTGTAGCACACTCAAGCCCTCCTCTTTCGCTTGAGCAGGTCCATCATTCAATTAAAGACCTGGCATGCTGACCTCCCTACATTCAGAGGGAAGATGTGGGACAGCAGGTGAACTTGAGAGACAGCAGGAGAGTCCGTAGAGATCAGTGCATGACAGCAAAAGCAAGAGAGAATCAAGGAGCACAAGATGGTCAAATGTTTCAATACTCAAGGACAACGAGGACTGGAAAGAGGCCACTAAATTGGAAGATTTGCAGATTACTCATGACTGACCTTGGAGAGAATAAAGAAATAGAGGGAAGTCAGATGACATGTCATCAAGTCATTCCACTGACCACATGTCACTTTTATACACTTACAGATACAATTCAAATTCCTAACTCTTCTAATGAATTCCCTGCTTCGCTAGGCTCCACCTTAACTACTGCAAAGCATTTCCCCTATTCATCATGTAATAAGCCGAGGGAGCCCCCAGACCTTCACACTGCTCCCCTTTCACTTCAACCTCCCCGCCTTTATGCACACACCCTCCCATCTGAGTGGCCTCTTTTGTCCCTCTAATTCTTACTTATCTCTCAAGGCCGGTTCCCCTTCCACTTCCTAGGAAACCTGTCCCTGATAACTAAGGTCACCTATAGTTGCTGCCTCTGAACTTCTGGAGCAAGCTCTGGGGGAAAAATTGGCTATTCAAAACAATTTGACATATTATAAAGCAATGAAACTAATGTGATGACAAGCCACATTTAAAAATATTTGCCACTCACTATATATTGAAGTCACCCAAAGATCTCTCATTCTGTTTCTTGTGCACACTGGCTCCCAACCACATCAGAATTTTCTCCAAGGTTCCTTTTTACGTATTCCACAATGTATCCTAAGAATCTGAGCTGAGGGATTAAAATATCTGGGTTCTAGGGGCGCCTGGGTGGCTTAGTCAGTTAAGCGTCCGACTTTCGCTTAGGTCATGATCTCGCGGTTCGTGGGTTCAAGCCCCGTGTCGGGCTCTGTGCTGACTGCCAGCTCAGAGCCTGGAGACTGTTTCAGAGTCTGTGACTCCCTCTCTCTCTGACCCTCCCCTGCTCATGCTGTCTCTCTCTCTCCTAGAAATAAATAAAAATTAAAAAAAAAAATTAAAAAAAAAATATCTGGGTTCTAGTCCCTGCCCTGCCAAAACTTTATTATTTGCTGAACTAGATGGCCTCAAAAGGCTCTTCCCCACTCCAAAACCTAGGATTTTATGGCTGATATACATTCTACATTTTATGTATACAATAAAAGTCAAGGCAAATAAAATGTGTTATGTATTACCCCAGTGGTATATACACATGTATATAGATATAGATACATAACATATAGAAATAGAACCACTGAATCAGCCAATAATCTCCGGTCTATCTGATGACTGAAAACACCAACAAATTCTGGATCCCTCTGTTCTAAATCCTTCATCCTAAGAGTTCTGTCAAGCAGGGACATTCACATGAGCTTCAAGAGGAATAAGTTATAAAATTACTGCAACCTAAAACCTGCTTAGCATATGCCTACCCACCCCCACCCCCATCAGCTGGTCATATTCCTTTGTCTTATCATGTGCCTTCTTGCACAAGATCATCATCAATGCTAAAACACTGTTAAGACACCAGGGACGTAAAAAGGTTCAGGTCTCACAAGGGCCTGCAATATAGTTGAGGAGACAGAAACAAGTATAAAGAAAAATAGTTTAAATGGTGGATAAATGCTTTCCCTCTGTTGGTATTCAGTTTGACCTTCTCCTAGTTGGCAAGATCAGGTCTACTTATGTGACTGTCAAGCAAAGGCATTGGGGCCAACGTGAATTAGGGAAAAGGTAAATGAGACAGAAAGGAATTATTCCTCATGAGGCTAATACAAATCTATACTCTAGCTGGTATTTAGAGGCTAAAAGAAATATATTTGTTATATGACAACATGAAACTTCGCTAGATGGGATTAGGCAATACACCTCTGAGAATATACTATATATAAAATATAAAACTATCAGGTAAAATATAAAACTGTCAGGGTGCCTGGTGGGCTCACGTCAGTGGAGCATATGACTCTTGATCTCAGGTTTATGAGTTCAGGCCCCGTGTTGGGCATGGAGCCTACTTAAAAACAATTTTAGTTGTAAAAATATAGGGATGCCTGGGTAGCTCAGTCATTTAAGCATCTGACTCTTGGTTTGGGCTTGAGTCATAATCTCGCGGTTTCATGGGTTCAAGCCCCACATGGGGCTCTGCACTGGCAGTGTGGAGCCTGCTTGGGATTTTCTTTCTCCCTCTCTCTGTCCCACCCGCACCTGCACTGTCTCTCTCAAAGTAAACTTTAAAAACTTTTAAAAAATGTTTTATTTGTTAAAAAAATATTTTTTTCACTTATATTGGGTTTAGTTTTCAAAGTGCTTTAAAATATCTTCATAACTATTTGAGACTAAGAAGACTACAATTATTGTTCTTATTTAGACAAAGAAATTAAAGCACAGGGAAGTAAAGGGACCAGTTCAAGATCACAGTGGCCAAAAAGAGACAGAACTGGATGGAAAAGAGTAAAGGTCTTCCGAATCCTGGTAAGATGCTTTTCTATTAAGCTATTATCCAAGTAGAAATATAATAAAACCAAAATCATTAAGTCATAGGTCAATATAAGATCCGGGCAAAGAGGATAATGGTATGAACATGTCAGAGTGTTTTCAGCTCTGGTCAGTAAAGATACGTGTCTACACTGGGTATACACAAACAGGACATGTATCAAACTGGGCTTACCAAGGGGCTAGATAACTATATAAATTCAACACACTTCCCTACTTTCCCATTTCACATTGACTAAACATTCTTTTATTAACTGTCTCCCCAATCACCCCCATTTCAGGAATGGGTTCTCTCACACACATTGTTAATAGAGAAGCCCATCATGAACTGCAAATGTAGAAAGTTAACTTTGTCTTAAGATTGTCTGTATGCTAATCATCTCCAGGACTGACAGCTGAATACACTGACGAGCAAGGTACATGGAATTGCTGTTACTCCCTCAGTGGCATCCTGTCAACCCTACACCATGTCACATTATTACTGGCTAGCCCTATATTGTTTTAATCTGAAGGCAATCGTGACATTCCTGTTGCTCGTAAGAAAGAGAGAATTGGCAAATTAGTCTTGGTTTTTATTCATAATTCACAAATCTAGAACCCAACATTTGGGGCACCTGGGTGGCTTAGTCAGTTAAGCATCTGACTTCGGCTCAGGTCATGATCTCACAGTTCATGGGTTCGAGCCCCGTGTTGGATTCTGTGCTGACAGCTAGCTCAGAGCCTGGAGCCTGTTTCAGATTCTGTACCTCCCTCTCTCTCTGACCCTCCCCTGCGCTCACTCGCGCGCTCTCTCTCTCTCTCAGAAATAAATAAAAAAATTAAAAAAAATTTAGAACCCAACATTTAAACCAGAAGCATTTATTTTATAAATTACTGTACCTGGGGCAGCTCGTAGCTGGGAAGAACAGCTCAGGGGTCTTAGAGCTGGAAGATAAAACCAGAGTGTTTACAAAAAGCAGTACAATTCAATGTCTCTGTAAGTTACTTACAAATCCAACTCTAATCTTAAAAAGAAAGAAGAAAAACTTACAAAATCTGAGGGCCCATTTTGATGTATTGGGAAGGTTTTTGAACGTGTAGGTCAAGATGGAATTCATTCTGAAATCTAAAAAGCGGAGAACAAAAATATATCCTGGGTTATTTGAACAATTTTGTGGCTGATGGTCTATGATCTCATCTTACCCATGGTGACTATAACATACTATAAAATTTAATGTATTACCAATTATCCTTCCTCTGATATTATAGGTACATGGACATGGCTTTCAGAGTGTGCAAACCACTACTTTAAGCATTACTATTACACTCTTTGTAGGAGAAGAGAAAACTGAAGCATACAGAGATCAAGCAACTTGTCCAAATTCCCACAGCTAGGAAGAGGCAGAGCTCCGATCCGAAGCCAGGCAGTCCAGCTCCAGAATTTATGTTCTTCTCTAGGGTCAAAGGAGTAGAGATTGCTGGACACGACCTTGAAGCCACAAAACTTGCTGACTTTGAAGGCTATGTTGTGAGTAGGCAGAATAAATGTCTTGTGCAATGTTTGTATGTGAAGAAATGTACACTGAAGTATTTAGGAATGATGTTGTGTCATGTCAGCAACTTCCTACCAACTGCTGTAAGAAGAAAAAGGTCATATGTTGCACTTGCTACCTTTTTTTTTTAAGTTTATTTATTTATTTTGAGAGAGAGAAAGCATGCTGGGGAAGGGCAGAGTGATGACAGAATCCCAACTAGGCTCCTCGCTGTCAGCACAAAGCCCAACGCAGGGATTGAACTCACGAACCATGAGATCAAGACCCGAGCAGAAAACAAGAGTTGGAAGTTTAACAGAGCCACCCAGGTGCCCCTGCACTTCCTGGTTTTTAACAAGCTTGCTATTGTTTCAAAATAATAAAAAAAATTAGAAGACACTACATATTAAAAATATTAAAAATATATTAACTGCTCCCCTAAATTCTTAAAAAATGAATTCTTACAAATCAGTAAGAAAAAAAATGGGCAAAAGATATGAACACACCATTCATAGAAACGGAAATATAAATGGCTCTTAGATATATGAAGAGAAGTTCAACCTCATTCCTAAGGGAAATGCAAATTGAAACCATACAGAGAGAGAATATTTGACCTGTGAAACTGGCAAAGGCTGGAAGGGTTGATATTCACCCTGTGCTAAGAGTACGCACAAGCAGGTGTTCTCCAGCCTGCTTCTGAGAGGGCAAACTGGGGTAATCCCTAAGGAGGACAATTTGGCAATTCACTGTCACAACTACAATTGCCTAGAATTTTTTACCGAGTAGTTCCACTTCCCTGAATTCACTTCAAGGATGCTTACCTACACACGAGACAGGATGCATTTCATTACTGTATGTAACACTGAGAGATTAGAAGAACTAACAAATAGGGAATTGGGTAAGTAAACCAAACTACAACGACCTAATTGAAATATTACACAGCTAAAAAAGATAAGGAAATGGTTATGTACCATATAGAATGGTGTTAACCTGTATTAAACAGAAAAAGTATAAAAGAGGGGACAGCTGCTATTGCTCACATTAAAAAGAGAAAAATTAGTGTATGTTATTTCCTTGTATCTGTATAAAATATCCCTGAAAGTAGAAAAACACATTAAAGAGGAAGGAAACTAAGGGGCGTCTAGGTGGCTCAGTCAGTTAAGTGTCCTTGATTTTGGCTCAGGTCATGACCTCACAGTTCAGGAGTTTGAGCCCCACGTGGGGCCCTGGGCTGACAGGGTGGAGCCTGCTTGGGATTCTCTCTCCCTCTTTCTCCACTCCTCCCTGTCTAACTCTCACAAAATAAATAAATAAACTTAAAAAAAGAAAAAACAAAAAAGGGAAGGAACTGAGTAACTAGGGGGGCAAGGTGTAAGGAAGGCTTATCATTTGTCTGTCTTTTATAATTCCTCAATTTTGAAACATGTTTTAACTTAAAAAAAGAGAAAGACAGAATAAGCCGGTGAGAGCTGCCTATGAAGACTGTAGTGTCCAGCTCCCAACAACTGCCACCTTTTGGTAGTTACACCCTCATGCAGGCCCCTCCCACGTTATACCGCAGGGATGCATGTAAAAGGAATACATGGGCTGGGGGGGCGCCTGGGTGGCTCAGACGGTCAAGTGTCTGACTTTGGCTCACATCATGATCTCACGGTTCGTGGGTTCGAGCCCCGCATCGGGCTCTGTGCTGACAGCTCAGAGCCTGGAGGCTGCTTCAGATTCTGTGTCTCCCTCTCTCTCTGCCCTCCCCTGCTCACACTCTGTCTCTCTCAAAATAAAATAAAGACATTAAAAAAAATTTTTTTTTTTAAATATATCTGAAGGGATGGTGTGCCCTTCCTGAGATTGGGCTGTAAGAAATACTGCAACTACGCCCTTGGTCATTCTCTCTGATCCCTCACTCTAGGGCACGCCAGCTGGCACATCCCCCACAGCCCTACAAAAAGATTCATGTGGTGAGGAGCTGCCACCTGCTGCCAGTCACGTGAGGCTGGATGTGGCTCCTCGAGCACAGGCAAGCTCTCAGATGATGACAGCTCTGGGCAGCATTCTGACTGCACCCTCATGGGAAATTATGTCAGAACCACCAAGCTAAGTCACTCCCAACACTCTATGAAATACTACATTTCTGTTTTAACCCGCTAAATTGTGGGGTAATTTGTTACAAAAATAGATCATATAAAAGCTTTGTTTAACTTCTCTTGGGTCTTCACAGACTAAAAAGAGGTGCCCTATGGCTTCAATAAAGAAAAAAAAATCACATTTTTCCAAATAATGTGGATTGAAAAGAGATGAAGGAATCCAAAATCCCAGCTCCCCAGCCTAAGGATACTCAAAAGACTCTGGCCAGGGAGAGACAAACTGGGCCATGAGATGAGCACCACTGTTTCCAGAAGCTACACCTGATGCCACAGGAGTCTTGGATACAAATTCCCTTACGTTCATTTTAAGCATCATGAAAATAATCAAGAAAACGTGGATAAAGAAAAATGGGTGCGTGTGGGGGACCTTACTCCAATAGACATCAAAACTTTCTATAGAAACACCAGGAACTGGGGCAGCTGGGTGGCAGAGTTAGTTAAGAGTCCAACTTCAGCTAAGGTCATGATCCTGCTGTTCGTATGTCTGAGCCCCATGTCAGGCTCTGAGCAAACAGCTAAGAGGCTGGAGCCTGCTTCAGTTTCTGTGTCTCTCCGTCTCTCTGCCCCTCGCCCACTCACACTCTATCTCTGTCTCAAAAGTAAAATAAACATTAAAAACAATAATAAAAAAACAACTGAGTGGTGCAATGCTGGCAATGGAACCAATGAAACAAGTCACAGGATGTAGCAAGTTCAGAAGCACAGTTAAGTGCAAGAGAATCAAGCATGTGATAAAGATAACATTTTAAACAAACAGGAGAAAGATGAATTATTCAATGAATTTGTTGGGGAAATGGCTAATCATTTGGAAAAACTTTAGGTCCATACCCATACATGTACAAATCAAGTACAGACAGATTAATCTAATTATTCATAAGTTAACTATAAAAGTACTAGAAAAAAGTATCGGAGAATATTTTCATAATCTTATATTGGGAAAGGCTTCCAACATATGGCATTAAATCCAGAAGGCATAAAGGAAAAGATAAACTAATGGATCTGATTAAATTAATGTGTAAAAAGCTACATAGCAAAACATACTAAAATAAAAAAGCAAACGAGATTCAGAAAAAATATTTGTAACACATAAAACAAAGGGTTAAGTAAAACAGACAAAAGGGTTAATATCCATAATCCATAAAGAACTATTACAAGTGACAGAAAAAAGAGAAATAATCTGTAATGGAATCTGTGGTTTTCACCCAAATACCCATTTCATCCCATTATGCAGTTGCCATATGTAGTTTACATGGGACTGAATCTAGCCCAACTCCAGAATTTAAACCAACTGGAATAATTTCATTTTCTTTGTTAAGATCATTGGTTCAGGAAACCAAGGCCTAAAACAGTTGTGCAAGGTACTGACCTGACCACTGGTATTAATTTAGGGATAATCCAGTCAGTCTGACATGCAAATTTTCCGCCTGGAATTCTGGAATATAAATCTGTCTGAGGCGTGGCCCAGCTACCACAGTTGGCAAGCATGAAAAGTCAGTCTAAGCATTAGCATAAGCATAGAGAGCTGATCCCCAAGAGAGGACGGAGCTGAGAATTTCAGAAAAGGAAACTAGAGCCCTAACTACATCATATCCGAAACCCATCCTCCCTTTGTGCTTTTCACCTATTAGTAAGTCCCCTTCCATAAGCCAATCTGAGTTTAACTTTGTTCTTTGGAACTGAAAGCCTCCTTACTGATACCTGACTAAAAAGAAAAAAAAATGAGCAATTCACAGAAGTAAAAATGTCAAATAAACAAAATATTAAATATTCAACCTCACTAACAATAAAAACATTTTTAAAATTAAAACAAGGTATCATTGTGGGGTTGTAAGATTCGCAAAAATTAAAAATATGGTTAACACATAATTCTAGCAAGAATGGATTTAAGCAGTCCTATATACAGTTGACAGCAGTGTAGACTGCTAAGACCTTTTTGGAATGTGATTTTTAGTTATCTAACAAAATCTGAATTGTGACTTTCTGAGCCCAATAATTCCTCTAATTGGTCTTTAACCTATAGAAATACTCAGATGTATATGCGGCATACACAGATCTCTGGCCTACAGAAATATTCAAGATGTTCACTGTAGCACTGTTTACATTTGTGGAACACTGGAACTAATCTAAATGCACATCAGCAGAAAATGGTTAAATATCATACAAAAATACCAACACTGTGCAGCAGTATGGAAAGAAAAATGAGACACAATACACATGTAAATACTGACAGCAGAAAGGTGTCCACAATATACATTAAATGAAAAAGCAAGGTGCAGAACAACATATATAGTAAGACACCATTTTATGGCAAAAAGAAAAACAAGTCCATAAAGCTAAGAGTCTATATACGGAAGGAATAAAGAGGAGCTTTCATTTTATATTCTGTCTTCTCAAAAAAATTTTTGTTACAATGAGCATTTTACTTCTTGTACAGTGAAATATTACTTTACGTACAGTGTAACTCTAGTTTTAAAATCTACATATGATAGTATTTATATATATAAATACACAAATGCATAAAAAATGTCCAGAAAAAGACATAGCAAAAGGTGAACAGCCATTATCTCTGGGTGGTAGAATTATAGGTACATTTATTTTCTTCTCTGTAGTTTCTGAAAAACACTTAATATTATTAAATCAATAACTAATTAAAAACACATTCAAAAGAAAAAGACTAAGCAAACTACGCTATGGAAGGCTGACCTTTATTGTCATTTACTCTCTTTAGGAAATAGACATTTGCCTCAAGAATTTGGGAAGCGTGACGGGTGCCTGGGTGACTCAGTCGGTTAAGCATCCGACTTTGGCTCGGGTCATGATCTCGCGGTGCGTGGGTTCGAGCTCCGCGTCGGGCTTTGTGCTGACAGCCAGCTCAGAGCCTGGAGCCTGTTTCAGATTCTGTGTCTCCCTCTCTCTCTGACCCTCCCCCATTGATGATGTCTCTCTCTCTCTCTCTCAGAAATAAAAAACATTTTTTAAAAATTAAAGAAAAAGAACTTGGGAAGCGTGGAAACTGAGCAGAGTAGTCTTGAGTAGGGTGTAGAACTACAGAAGGATACGTGAAGTTACATGCACCTGGAAGAAAGAAAAAGGAAGAACACCCTAGGCAAGTAATGAAAGCCAATGGAGTGGCTTTAACAGCTCAGTCACAGTGTCAGTAAAACACAATATAATAGAAGCCACAGACTCTAAAATCAGATGGCTTAAAGCCAAATCCTGGCTCTATAGTTTTCTGACCTTAAGGAAGTTACTTAACCTTACTCACAGTAAGGTGTAGATAATCCCAGTACATACCTCATGGGGTTGCGGTGAGGAATAACTAAACATACACAAAGCACTTGGAACGATGCCTGACACACAGTAAGGGTTATAGATGTTTGCTATTAATATTGGGTGTAGAAGTACACCTAGTTCCTCTCTATGTAAGCCACAATAAGCATAAGCATAACATTTCTGCCCTGATGGAGCTTATGATTTTAAGAGTACAGGGAACAAAAAAGTCAAGAGCCAAAAGGGGATGGCAAATTACAACCCAGGGGTCCTTTAGCTAACAAGAGTTTTTATACTTTTAAAGGATTGCAGACTGAAGAAAACGGAACACAGAATACATGGGAGAGATCAACAGGGTCTGCAAAACTTAAACTATTATCTGGCCCTTAATATAAGAATTTGCCATTCCTGGGGCGCCTGGGTGGCTTAGTCGGTTAAGCGTCCGACTTTCGCTTAGGTCATGATCTCACGGTTTGTGGGTTCGAGCCCCGCGTCGGGCTCTGTGCTGACTGCCAGCCCAGAGCCTGGTGCCTGTTTCAGTCTGTGACTCCCTCTCTCTCTGACCCTCCCCTGCTCACGCTGTCTCTCCCTCTCCTAGGAAAAAAAAAAAAAAGAGTAAATTACAATATGAGATCCATTAATTAAAAAAAAATTAAAAAAAAAAAGAATTTGCCATTCCTTACCTAAATGATAAGCGCTAAACGGAATTATATGCCTAAGAGAGCATTATGACGACAGGAAACAAGCTTTTAACTGAAAAAAACAAATCTTATGAGCTAGAGGGCTTCTGATGACCATCAAGAACCTTTTTTGCAAATTAACCTTATACAGTTTGGAATCGATCGCATTATTTAAGGACCCGAACCCATCTTTTCAACAGAAAAATAACTATTATGCAATGTAGAGCTCGTGACTGGAAGTTAGTAGAGTGGCTCTAGTCCTATTTCCACCACCTGAGGCCACAGATGAGACCACTGACGCTGGTTCATGGGCTTCACCGATAAAGTGAAGTGGATAAATGACCGGATGACGGCCAAGCCCCTTTTAGGTTGGAAAATTCTCTGGAGCCCTGGCTCTCCCAGCAATATGGAAGAATCACTCAACTCCTCCCGCTGGAGGTCCGAAAGGTCACGTGACCACACCCTCCCTCCAGGTAGCGGGGGTAAGGTAACCCCAATTCTATAGCCACTGGCCTGGCTACAGGAAAAACGGATGAAACGAAAACACACGATGCAACACGGCCCAGCGCTTTCTGCGACACACACACGAGCAAACAATTCGTTAACTTGAGGTGATCAATTTAAAGACACAGGTGACACCGCTACTCAGAGCTCCCGACTTGAAGCTAGTGCTTACTGCACTGGTCCTGGGGACTCTGTCCGAGGGGCCTCCTTCCGCTCCCTGGAACTCCACACCCTGCGGGAAGGCAAGCGGCCGCGGATACTGATGCAGTAGACGGGAAAGGAAGGACAGCTGTCACCGCGGGAAGAGACCGGGCGGAAAGCCAAGCGCAGCGCGGACTCACCTTAGCTCTGTCTCTCGAGCTCCCGCTGCGGGCCAGTAAGGTTCGAACCCAAATGCCGGGGGACAGACGCGATCAAGGGGCGGGTCCTGCCCAAAAGGACCCCTCCTGCCCTTTTGCGGGCTGCCCGCCGGCCGCCTGTATAGAAAAGCGGGCACTGCGTCCCCTCCTCTATAGGCTGCCTTCCTTCCAGCAGCAGAAAGTCCATAAAGCTACGAGCTTTCTCCTTCCAGCAGAGAAAGAGTCCTCCCCAGCTGTTAGCTGGAAGCGAAGGGCACGGCAAGGAGCCGGGGGCAATTCGGCGTCGGAGTTTTAGTCAGGCATTTTGTCGGACGCCCGGCTGGGGCAAGGCTGAGGGACACAAATCCTCCGCCCGCGGCCTCCACAGGAATGCTTTCCACTTTCGTCCTCTTCAGCTCAAGATGGTGGCCTCCCGGGCGATAGGCAGCCTCAGCCGCTTCACTGCCTCCAGGACGCTCCGCTGCCCAGGTGAGACCGGGCTGGGAGCACCCCGTAGCCCAGGCTGAACTCTTGCGGAGGCTTGTCTCCCTGTCGCCTTCCGGTCCCAGCCTGGGAAACTCAGCCCTAGATGTGGAGAAAGGATGCCCCTCTTGGACCCCCCTTCCTATGTCTTTGTGCAGACTGACACCTCTTCCTTCCTATGTCCTTGTGCACTGACACCTCTTCTCACGGCTCCCGAGCCCTGCAGCGATGTCAGGTTCCGTAACCCTTAATGTTTCTGAATCCTGTTCCCCAGATCTGGCACCTTCCTCAATTCTCCCCGTGGCACTTCTGGATTACTGCCCATCTTATTTTCTTTTATGGTGGCTTCGGACCCCGTTCTTTCTGGATCAGGAGGACTGGGACAATCCAAATCTGTCACGTTTGTGGTCCCACAGCACCTTACTCGTAACAAGGGCTGTCTTAAAAGCTTCTTAGGTGGTGTTAACCAGATTTGCAAATTACGACCACTCCCAGCTGCTTTCCCTCAAAACCGTTTTTGTACCTATTACCACGTCAATAGGGAGCTCGACCCTTGCAGTTCAAATAAACCCGATGTGAACGTATGGTATGTTAAGTTTCAAGGAAAGGTTCTGCAATTTACCAGAAGAAACATTTTTTAAAATACTCTCGTACCGCTATCCTGTCTGTGGACCCACTGGGGCAGAGTGACGAAAAAATAAAATATGCAGATACCTGAACCTTAAGGAATAAAATGTTAGTTAATTTTAAGAACTGTTCCAATTTTGTTTCTCTCCGTACCCAGTTAGGCTTGCGTTAGCTATATTATCTTTTTCTTTTCCGACTGGCGGTGAAAGAGTTAAAGTGGGTACTTAGGGAAAATCAGGCATTTTCCTCCCATCCCAAATCTGAAAGGTGACATGTGACTTTTTATTGCATGTGACACCTAATACCGGCTAGTTTGAATATTAACTTGTAATATGCCTTCCTCCTGGACCACCAGAGTAGTATGCTTTTTGTAGACTCGTGGCTGGGTCTGCTCTACGGGATTAATTTTGGATGATTCCGTCTTTTTCTGCTTTCAACCAGTGTCTTTAGTCCCCACAGGACTGCTGTGTGTGTGAATACCAGTCATAATATTACAAAAAACTGAAATATAAAGATTGGGGAAATGTTGAGAACATTGTCACCCACTGTCTTAAAACTCACATACAGTAACTGTTAGCATTTGGTCATGTGACCTTATAGTCTTGTCTTGTTTTCTATTTTCCTCATTTATGGTTTAAGGCTTTTCGAAAATCAAATGTGTATGTTTGAACTAGCTTCCGCATTGGTTTTAAGGTACTTATGGATTACCAGCTGGTGTAACACTGAGCTGGTAGTCAGGTCGTGTGGTTTCTGGTCACTAACTAGCTGTTTAACTTTGAACAGATACCTTAGTCCAACCGAGCTTTATTATCCTTGCCTTTGAAATGAATGAGACTTTGGATTTTCTTAGACATCAGAAATAACATGAAAGAGCAATTCAAAGCATTTAAATTTGGAGTCTGACTTTTAGGCTTGAACCTGGCTCTGCCTTTTATTCTTTAGCGACCTTGGACAGTTAATTTCTATGTAAGTAATACTTTTGTGAACTTCAAAGGAGTTACTTTAAGTTTCTTTTTTAATACCTTTTTAAATTTTTTTTAATGTTTTATTTATTTCTGAGAGAGAGAGGCAGTGTGCGCAGGGGAGGGTCAGAGAGAGAGAGAGGGAGATATGGAATCCAAAACAGGCTCCAGGCTCTGAGCTAGCTGTCAGCACAGAGGCTGATGCCAGGCTCGAACCCACGAACTGTGAGATCATGACCTGAGCCGAAGTCGGAGCTCAACCACTGAGCCACCCAGGCGCCCCAGGAGTTACTTTAAGTTTAAAGCAATTTTTATTAAGTCTCAGTACATGCTGCTATTAACTCTTTCCTGCCCTTAAGAACTATGATTTTGTATATCTGAGAAAAATGACAAGCTTAGTTTTTCTATATTTTTATATAGAAATGTATATGCCCATATAAATGTTTATACATTTTGCATTGTTTTCACCAATAAGAAAATGTGGCTTATTACAGTTATTACCCCTTTGAATAGAATTTAGGAATTTTGAAAACATGTCTAGAAAGTGAATTCAAAATTACCTGCACACCTGGATTGCCATTTAGACTCAACATACTGAATCTATATGAAAGTCTGTGCCATGGTCATTAGCAAATGTTTAATGAGATTATAACATTTACTGGTGGATGAGTAAATTTTCTTGAAACTTGATTTGTAGTTGTCAAAGTTCTAACCCCCACTAATGCTGTAATCCTGAATATGACTGTCAAATGAAAGCCACAACTTGACCGAGATATCTTATTTAATTCCCACTCCTCAGTCTAAATTTCTAATTATGTAAGTGGTAAAATAATTCACAGAAAATGAATTAGACGCAAATACCATGGCAGATGACGTATATTTATTTTATTATTATTTTTTTGCTGGTTTCCTCAGAAATTTTTTATTTTTTTAAATTTTTTTTGGAATTTTTAGTTTTTTAAATGCTTGTTTATTTTTGAGGGACAGAGGGACAGACCGTGAACAGGGGAGGGGCAAAGATAGAGAGGGAGACACAGAATCTGAAGCAGGCTCCAGCCTCTGAGCTGCCAGTACAGAGCCGGACGGCGGGGCTCAAACCAGCAAACTGTGAGATCATGACCTGAGCTGAAGTTGGATGCTTAACTGACTGAGCCATCCAGGCGCCCTGATGATGTGTATTTAAATTTGTTTCACTTCTAGGGCGTCTGAGTAGCTCAGTCTTTTAAGTGTCCGATTTCGGCTCAGGTCATGATCTTGTGGTTCAAGAGTTTGAGCCCCACGTTGGGCTCTTTGCTGACAGCTCAGAGCCTGGAGCCTGCTTCAGATTCTGTGTCTCCGTCTCTCTGCTCCTCCCCTGCTCATGCTCTTTCTCTCTCTCTCTAAAGTAAATATTTAATAAATAAATAAATTTGATTCACTATCTTAATCCTGTATGAGTGTAATCCAACTCTCTCCACTGCTGTAGCTTTAGGTCTTATAGGTCTTTTGAGTTGCGATATTGGGATGATTAAAAAGTAGGACAAAGGTTTCTCTCTTTTGCTGGCACCTTTGATATAGGCTAAAGTTCACCTAGCTGCTCTGGAGTAAGCTGTCCAGATTTGGTCATGGTTAAGGCTAGATTCCAAAAACAAAGCTACCTTGTAGCTACTAACTTGATTTAGTTGACTGTGGTTTGAATTCCTTCCAAGATACGTTTGTAGTTTACTTTCTCTTAGTTTTTTTTTTTTTTTGTCTGTACTGTGGTTTGAAATATTTTCAAGATATATTTGTGCACTTCTTTTCCTCTTCGTTATTTGTCTTTATTGACTCAGAGGAGGTTTTGTGTATATGTGTATGGGTGTGTGTGCAGCAAAGGTAGACTAGTGGTAAGAGTTTAAAATGATTTGATCCATGGAGTGCCTGGGTGGCTCAGTTGGTTAAGCGTCCAACTTCAGCTTCAGTCATGATCTCATGGCTCATGAGTTCAAGCCCTGCATCGGGCTCTGTGCTGACAGCTCAGAGGCTAGAGCTTGTTTCAGATTCTGTGTCTCCCTCTCTCTCTCTCTGTCCCTCCTCCACTTACACTCTGTCTCTCTCTCCCTCAAAAATAAATAAATATTAAAAAAATTTTTAAGTAAAATAAAATGATTTGATCCATAAGCTAGTGAGCACGAACCTGTTGTCTCAAATAGTTGGTCTTTAAAAGTGCAACCCATGGGGCACCTGGGTGGCTTAGTCGGTTAAGCGTCCGACTTTCACTTAGATCATGATCTCGCGGTTCGTGGGTTCAAGCCCCGCGTCGGGCTCTGTGCTGACTGCCAGCTCAGAGCCTGGAGCATATTTCAGAGTCTGTATCTCCCTCTCTCTCTGACCCTCCCCTGCTCACGCTGTCTCTCTCTCTCTCTCTCTCTCTCCTAGAAATAAATAAAAAAATATATGTATATAAAAAATAAAAATAAAAGTGCAACCCATGCCCAAGCCCTCGCACCTGCTCTAATTTCTTTTTTGCTTAGCTCTTGCCTCCTAACCTCTTTTACATATATATATATTTCTTGTTTTTCCTCTGTCTTTCCACCCCATCCCTCCCACCCTGCATTCCCAGTCAGTCCATCCCTACTCTCATCCCTGTTCTATTCCCTCTTCCCCTCCCACTGGAATTGCCACTCAACAGGCAAAGTCCTTTTTATGCCCGGCCTATTTTCACTTCTTCCTTTATCGCTACTGAGGAGGTGCCGATTCTTCCTACGATAGTCTAAGGATCAAAATTGGCAGGGAAGAGAAAGATCATTACAGATACAATCTCTTGATAAGACCTACGGAAAAGGTTGGGGCCATGATACAAACATAAAGAAGACTGATAAATACAGATGATACAGATTGTAAAGGGTGGAAAAGCAGAGCAGGGAAGTGTATCATTAGTGAGGTAGAGGCATGGGGGTTAAGGAG